TGTGTGTGTGTGTGTGTGTGTGTGTGTGTGTGTGTGTGTGTGTGTGTGTGTGTGTGTGTGCGTGCGTGTGTGTGTAAACACGTTTTTGCTACATCATGGGGTATATTTTCCAGACAAACACAGTCTTTTGGCTCCTCATAGGGACCAAAGCTTGGTTCCCACAGGTACAGATACTAACTTTGGGTGGGGATTATGTTTAGGACCAAGGTATAAAATGAGTTAAGGTTAGATTTAGGGTCAGGTATTTATTGAACTGGTTAGGTTTAAGGTAAAAGGTCAGGGTTAGGCTATAGAAAAGACTGGAAAATGAATTGACGTCAATGCAAAGTATTTTAAACAGCTTCTCACAAGTGTGTTCTGAGAATTACCACACTTTGCTACATTAGAACGTTTAAGACTAAAATTAAAGGTTTGATGCTTTACTTTTACTGCAGGCCACTTGTTACCATTTCAGTTAATTCTAAATAATCAGCTTATGTGTTTACTTTAAGTGTGGTTGTTGATGAGCCTAATTTAAGTCAGTACGTTCAGTTTTCTCTATTCCTCATTATGTTTTTGAATAATAATGTCACAGTATTTGCTGCAGATCTGCTGAATACAGTCCTGTAGTTTGGCAGGTTTGTTGTCTTCATTCTCCTCTGGTTCTGGGTCAGACTCTGGCTCCAACATGTAAGGCTGGATGGACAAGTCTTCTGTTGTTGACAGCTTTCATTTTGTAAATGAAAGATTTACGCCATGCACCGCTAGATTTTCATATCTGCTATTAAACTTAAAAAATGGCTGAACTGAGTAGAGTGGACAATTATCATTGGGAGTGAGACCTGGAGGAAGGGCGGAGTGTGAAGTGCCTCATTTGCATTTAAAGAGACAGCACCAAAACGAGTTACTCTCAGACACACCTCTTGGCAAAATCTAGCAGGCTTGTGAGGAGTGCAGAAGAAGCTGGTGAGAAACTACAGTATTTAAAACTTGGACTGGTGAACTAGGAGGAGAAAAGATGTGGCATAGATTGTTGAAATGAATGAAATTGGTTTGAACTTGTTACAATTTAATTGGCTCCAGAAGAAAACAGGTGGCGAAGAAAAATTTCTGTTGGCTGTCAGCAGGCTTTTGTTGAGACTGTTGTGTTTGATCATTCATCTTAAATCCTGCCCAGAAAGTTTGTGTCTGAAACACACAAAACTTGTGGAGTCATTATCCCAACTATCAGCTTTGCAATTAAAGCTTTAAGATTTAAAGTGTTGCTTTTAAGTTTGCTTTTGATGGATTTTTTTTGGTTAGGCTGCATGTTAAATCAATAAAAATATATCTGTACATCTCTTATTATTTTTCAGCATGCTGAATAACAATGGTTTAAGAGAGATCCAAAGCTATGCTTTTAATGGGAGCAGACTGGAGGAAGTGTAAGGCATTTTGACCTATTGAAATGAACCAATAACAGTTTGATTCAATACTATAGTTAAACACAACTTGTGTGTGTGTGTCTAATTTGTTATCTCTTCTTTAAATTTGTCAACCTTTAAGAATGAAAGTTTGATGCTTCATGTAATTTTAAATATCATTATATTACTTTCATTTATATGCGCACTTTGTGTTATAGGTACCTTCACAGGAATGTGGATTTGGAACATATAGATGAATTTGCTTTTTATGGTGTGATTCATGGCCCAACTCACTTGTAAGTCCACTCACTTTTTATAGTACACTTAAATGACACATCAAGCCATACCGTGTGTCTAAACTTATCACAAAAATTAAGGAAATTTGTGTTTGGTAGATTATTTCTTTGTTGTAACAATGCTCAAAACAAGAGTCAATAGCAACAGGAATCTAAGCTGTTTGGCAGAGAAGATTTGGCAAAATTTTCATGTGCCCAACCCACATATTCAGCTCTACTGCTCATCCCATAAATGCATTTTCCTTACAAATGTGGCACCATTTAAAAGAGGAATGAACAAGCTTTCTAACAGTATACGATTTATTGTCAAGAGGCATTGTTACAACAAAGAAATACCAAACACAAATTTCCTTACTTTTTGTGCTTAGTTTGTGTATACAAAAAATAGGACTAATTTACCTTATTAGACAGAACACAAACACCATCTTATTATATTTAACATCTAAACACACAAACTGAACCATATATTTTTCAAAGATTTTCTTCTTTGCTGCTTGACTCTACTGCACCCATTGCGTTTGTGGGCATGTGCTATTTTTCAACCCTTGAAGGATGTTTTTATTGTGTCCTTTGTATCATGGAAAATTCTTGAAGAAAAAAAATTTAACCTTTGTATATTATTTTAAAAGAGATAGTGATTGGCTTCAAGTGGTGCTTCTGAAAGGAGTTGGGACCCCATTGTGTGTAAAGTAAAACTGTTGTGAGAAAGAAAGTGTGTTGTGTACAGCTGAATAAAATTTGGTACTGGTTGCCAAAGCTGTTTAGGAAATTTTACATTTACATCCCACCATGGTTCAGTCAGCAGCAGCTTTGCATCGACAAGTTCTGGATGTGGTGGGAATGATATTTGACTGCAGCTGTGAAGGACGCTGTGTGAGAACTGAGCTTCCTGTCGGTGCTTTGGAACTGGGGAGGAGCCCATGGCAGTACCTGCTGCTCATTAGAAAGAATGGTAGCTGTGTTCACATCAGAGTCTCCAAAAAGCACAATAACACCAGGAATAAGGTCTCAATAGATCAGGGGCGGAGCTTCTGGGGGGGCTGGGGCCCAGATGGCAGAAAAGCTTCTTGTCAACCATCCAGCAGTAACTTATTCAGCAAGGTTATTTTTGACTCTTCCCGTCACCTTTGCAACCTCATACTTCAAGTTAAAACTCTCCACTTGCATACATGTCAACCCCTTTGGACATTTACCTGTATAATGAACCTCAAAATCTCTAGTTTTGCAAAAAAAATCTGTACTAATCACACGTGCAGGGTGGTGGGGGGTGTAGCTAAAGGCGGACTGTCAGCTGCAGAAACGACAGCACCTGAGGCAGGGCTGGAGGAAATTAGGACGGGAGAACTTATTTATAGTAGCAGAGTGGGTTGGAAGATGGTTATTTGATGTCATTTATTGTTTAGTTAACATGCAGGGTCTGACATGTTAACTAAATTTGAAACTAAGGTTTTGAAAAAAATTTGTAAAACGTATAAAGTACAGACAATCCATACGACTTGACCTGTAGGCCTATTTGAGGAGCACAGTGGGACAGGAGAGACTATGTGGACTTGCCGTGTTGTCCACAGAGAAAGAGAGAGCGAAGAAAATGGACAAGGAAAAGGCAGGGCTCATCTTATGCCCTTCAGTAGTGGTGAGTAGGCCTAAAGCACTTCTTTTTGAAATTGTTGGTGAACATGTGGGCCGCTGTGCCAGCTTTACTAAACTTTATAACTACTGATAGGGTACAGGCTCTGAGTTGAAATAGATAAAGTGGGTGTCAAAACGAGCCGATCGCTATCCATGGTGCTGAACTGCTTTCAATTTGTGTTGTATCATTAGTAGCTGAATGTTTTATTTCTTAGTTTTTTATACATCACATCCATTTGATGGACTTAAAAATGACAATCGCTCTCTGTGGTGCCAAAGCTTGTAAGTGCCGCTCTTGAGTATGTGTTTGTTGTATGATGTTATCATGAGCTTTGTTATTTGGTATACAGGGCCTGGCCCAGCTCTGATTTGTTCCACTAGTGCTATAGATGTTTTGCCATTTGCTTTTTAAATAACAGTTACTAGAGGGGTCTGAAAACTTGATTAACATAGCAAGAAATTTGCTGAATTGGCAACACTGCGAGTATTCTGCAATTCACCACCTATGATGTCAGTTGTCAATCCATCCATCCATCATCCATCCATCCATCCATCCATCCATCCATCCATCCATCCATCCATCCATCCATCCATCCATCCGACAGTCATGGTTGTGTTAATTTAGCCATGGATTGAAGCGATCAAATTATTGTGCATTATGTGAACTTGTCTAGCTTTGCAGATTTACCATAAATTATACAGATTTCCCCCCATTTTTTATGACTATGGTTGTACAGAGAAAGTCTCACTGATTTTTCAAAAACTCAGTTTCAAATTTTTTTGAGTCTAGGCTGTGGCCGACCTGCGGGCTATTGTCATCTATTTCAATATTCAGAGACTCCTACATTCTACTGGGGGCCTTCCAATTTAAATATTAGGTTGCCAAATGATCGTGTAGGCCCTCCTCTTTTGATTGACACCTGTTTTGACCAAATTGGTCGATCTATGTTCTCTGTAGAGCCAATATCGAAAGTTGCTTTGCAGGGTTTTTTAGACTAAAAGAAGGTGAAATGTGGTGAAAAGCGAAAATAAAATTGTTACAAGGTGGTCGGGAGAAAGAAGAGTGATTCTGATGAGGAACTGTCTAAGGAAGGTGAGTAGTGGGGTATTTTTGGAACATTTTGGACTATGAATTACAAATTGGGCCATGACAGAAGAAAGAAACAGAAAGACTGAACGGTGCATGATGACAAGAGTGACTGCAGTTTTGACTGGTGAAAGAAAGAACAGGTATAGATGAGCCAGTCTTTCCACAGGCTGACTGAGGAAAGGGAAAATGAACTGGTGGCACAGTGGAACACAGAGGAGCATAAATAAAGCCTAAAAACACCAGACATTGAAAAATACAACAAACCAAAAAGGAACAACCTTAACACAAAAATACTCAAAAAGTAATCAAAAACACTGATATTGGCATCACATGGATTTCTTTTATCAAATTTATTTTTACTTCAGTTTAATATACGTCTCCATGTACTCTAATCTTAGCTCTTTTTCCTTTCAGGGATCTTTCAGAAACCAAAGTGCACTCTTTGCCTTCAGTAGGTATGGACAACATTGAGAAACTCCGACTGAACAAAACATGGGCCCTCAAAGCACTGCCCCCATTAAGTGCATTTCTTCATTTGCAGAGTGCACATTTAACCTTTCCAAGTCACTGTTGTGGCCTTAAAAAGCTTCAAAGATTAAGAAGGTAAGAAATAACTTTGAAGATGATTTGTAAATGTTATTTTTACTATTTTAAATTCAGTTAACAGAGACATTTTATTTTAAACATTTGGAGGTAAATAGATTCACAAGACTTGTGCTTCAGGCTGTTGTGTAATATTAATATTAAATAATTTAAGAAATATAATTGAATTTATTGAGGGATTCTTTTCTAATTTAGTTTGCAATTTGAACACATTTACTGCCATTCATTAGCTAAATATTTCATTTATTTTCCTGGAGATGTTTTGGGATATATGGAGGACCAAAAGTGACACTTATTTTGAATAAATATGTCATTAAACAACTTTTTATTGTATTATTAGTTCAGCCAAATTTGATATATATATATAT